TGCTTTGCATTCAACCGTTAATTACGGTCCTTTCAACTTCACAATCATGGCTAATGATGGTGGGGAAACAGAGAACAGTAGAGTCATCAGACCTCATTCTGGGAAGAGTGGGAAAGAAACAATACAAAACTTCACCCACCCACGGTTTACAACTGAGACTGCTACTCTGGGTACCATTTGGAGGATTTGGAGGAAATCAAGGCTGCCCAGAAGCCTGGAGGCTTGGAAATGAGACAGCTGGGGAAAAGTTTTATTACTCTAACTCTAACGGGAAGAAAAGTCCTTTAGGGCTCATCTATCTATGGTGGGAATAGCTCAAAACCACATCTCTCATGCTGCAGTGAAATTTAGACTGTACTCACCCTTATTTAGTACCTTTCAGTACTAAAGATCTTTTTCAATTCACTCTCAAATAAGTATTACTCTTTTAATTTTATAAATGAGAACACTGAGACTTAGAAACAACAAGAAACAATTTGTAACCTCATTCATTCATTCATTCATTCATTCATATAATGATGCTGAGTATCTACTATGTGTTAAATATTGTATTCAGTATGTAAGATACAGCAGCAAACAAAACAGAGTTCCTACCTCCTGGAACTCAGTCTAACAAAGGAGGCACACACTATGCAAAAACACATGCGATTACAAAACACTGAGCATTTAAAAGACAATGAACAGGTTAGTATGCCAGGGAATACTGGTGTGGATGAATCTTAGATATCATAGGTAGCGGTTTCCAGAGGATGTGATATTAATGATGAAGCCTGAAAAATGAGAAGGCATTAGTTCTTCAAGGAATAAATAAACGAGATTCCGGCAAAATAACAGCTTGTGTGAGGGCCCTAAGTGAGAAATATATCTTGGGATGTTTGAGAAATAATGCCTTAGAAAATGATCACGAGAAGATGCATGGTTCTTCTCAAACCTATATCTGAAGTATAATGTTAAGTATGTCTATGAGAGAACAGGACACAAAGGATGGAAGAGATATAAATATCATGCCATGTGAGAAACAGAAATAATCACATATTAAATATCAATAAGAAATGGCTTGTGTGGCCAGAGAGGCTGGTTGGTGCTGTCATATTTCTCCAAAAGGCTGACTAGGAAAAAATATTTGACTTGTTCAAATCAATACAAGTGCTCAAGTGGAGAGAGTTAAGGAGTCAGAATTTGGCTTTACAGAAGGAAGAAAGTGCTGATAATTTCACCGGTTCCCCAAAGAATCAACTCTCTCTTTAGAGAATTGCAGCTGTCAAGCTGAGGCTATATTATGACCTGCCAAGAATGCTTTATTGGAGATATCATGTTGACTTCTAGTCTAGTCTAGATGACACTTCAAAATCCATCTAACTCTAGAATGCTACAGATCTCTAAGCTAGTTGTATTCAAAACAAATGGTTACAATAGGCCCCAGCCACAAGGAAGACAGGGACTTAGAATTAATTCAGTACCTGGCAGCTGGCACTGACCCTGGTAGTCAGATAGAATATTAGTATTATTTCATACACTTATTTATTTTTGGTTTCTCCCCTACTAGAATGTAAAGTCTATGAAGATAGGAAGTTCTTTGTCTGCTAGCTTACTTCTTTATTCTCAATACTTAGAAGTGTGTATTTTATTTTTAAATATAGTTATAAGCTTGCTAAATGTTTACTTAATCAAAAAGATCTCTTTTAAAAATGCGTTCTTATTAATTTGAGAGAGAGAGGATAGGAGAGGGATAGAGAGAAATAGCACTGAGATAGTAACACCAATTGGCTGCTTCCTGCATGCCGCTTACTGGAGATTTACCCACAACCTGGGCATGTACCCTGACCTTGAAATCGAACTGGTAACTTCTTGATTCATGGCCTGACACTCAACCACTGAGAAACACCGCTAGGTTAATATTTAACTGTTAATTGCTTATTTAAAGTCACACAGTTAATATGGTTTTGTGTGTAGGTAGTGTGATTGTAAAGGCTGAATATTTAGCCACTTTGCTAAGCTGAAAAATCATCTTTAATATTCATAGGATAAAGATATCTGGATCTTAAAATTCTTACTCTACTCTGACTGAAACTTGCGGGTAAAGTTGGGAGTAATTAACTTGATTGATAGCTAATTATTTAATTGTGACAACTACCCTGCAACAAATGTCCTTTATCCTCTCCTGTAACTTGTTTTAGTTTAATATAACTTGGCTTCATTCTTTGTTTTTAATCTTCTGGCATTAGGGGTTTGCTGAATTCTGTTTTTTACTCAACCCATGGTATATTTTCTACCTATTTTGAAGGGAGAAAAGCACTACTTAAAAAATCAAATCTAGTGCATTTTTCTTTTGGCTTACTTTATAGTTGCTTATTTTTATGTTTACTTATAGTTTCCTTTGTTTCTCCCCCTTTTTTTGTAGGTTGTTATTTTCTGACTTTTTAATGATAGTTTGGAAGACTGCCTTTATGTTTAAAAAACTATACCTTAAAAATTCTCAGTATCAAAAATAAAATAGCAGTATTTATTTCATCTTATCTGAAGTGGGAAACCTAGCAGATTTTTATTTAGACTCATAAATCCTCTCACTCTTTCTGTTTCTACTGACATAATAGGGAATTGCAGACCCAGATCACAATTGTTATTTACATTACACATCCTCTCTTTAAGTAATAGTTTTTACATTAACCTTCTCTTTTGTAACATATTTAGAGCAAGTATTTAGCATCAACACTATCCAATTAGTGTCCATGCTCACTATGGGTCATTTTGTCCCATATTCCTCTACTCTTGATTTCTTTATTTTGATTCTTTGCTCAGCCAAATGCTCTCTGAATGATTTATTAGAATCAGGGCCTGTGGGAGCCTGTGGATACTGAAAATGTCTTTCTGATGTATTGGCACAAGAACAACAACTTGGCTGATACAGAATTTGTGGGTTACACCATTTCCACTCAAAAGTCCTCCAGGCTTAGCTGCACTGTGTGCTTGCTTTTTGATGTGAAGAAATCTGAAAGGGGCCAGGCAGGGATTTGTCAGACTGAGAATAGCTTTTCTGCTCCTGTGACCTTTTCACACAAACCCTGTTCAGTAAAACTTAATACTAACTACAGTAATTGGAAGCAGTGTGGAATCCCTCTCTTGCCAGAAAAATACAACACTCTGAAAATACAGCAGCTCCTCAGCTTTTCCTCTCTGTTCCTGTGAGGCCAAGTGCACCCTCAGGACACCTGGCCCAAGCACCTTTCTGGTTCCATCCCTGCTTGTGTGTCATCACTGCTAATCTTAGATCCACAAGGGGATTACACCTGGTGTGGGCTTGAAATCACAATTACTGCTTATTCATGAGTAAGGCTTTGCTTCTCTTGAAAGGAGTAGTAGACACTGCTTCCTGGATCAGCTAACTGCAGAGTGGGGGGGGGGGGGGCTTCATTCCCAATGGCAAAACCCCATGTCTTGAGAAGGGGACTATGGTGTGGTGTTTGGGGAGCAGAACCTCCAGAAGTCCCTCTTTCTCAACTGCTCTTCTGCTCAAGGCCGACATTGCTCCTCTTAGGGTCCACGTGTCAGTGTTTGAGCTCTGTAGATTGGGTCTCTTGCTGGGTTCTTACATGCATCGGAGTACGAATGTAACAGAGTGTGAACTGAGTACAGCTATTACTCCTCTTCACAGCATACAAACCCAACAGCGTCTCCTGACATGTCAAGAGGAAGAGAGCCACGCCTTCCCGGAGCTGTGCTGAACCAATAAACTGGCCAGTATGAGATGCAGAGAATCAGGAACAAGGTGGGCCCCAAGATGCTTCTGCCATATTCATGTCCCCCCACCTCCATACACCCGTGTTTCATGCAGAGGGAAGACCAGATGGGCAGGTAGAAGGCAGTTTGGCTGCTTCTCTTTGTAGCTTTTTATTCTATGTGAGGAGTGTTGCCTGAACCAGTAATACATGTAGAACTGAAATACCAATGTGGAATTTAAATGGGTTTGTGGACATTTTAAATGTTAATTAGGTCCTCAACCCAGATTTCTCACAAGATGATGACTGCCACCAGAGCCTGCACAGGCACTTCACACTTCACCAAATCTGCTTTGTCTTAGTCTCTTCTTCTCCAGCCGCCTTGGGGCGCATGGCACCTGCTCCACGCCCTTGCATCTCTATAAGGGCACATCCACATAACCTTAATGTAAACTATAGAGGCCTAGCATATATCAGTTGTTCATTATAATTTGTTGAATGAAATATGTTAACCTGGAGTATGTCCACAAGGCATCCTATAGAGAAAAGATACACTTGTGTCATAAGAGGGACTAGCGATATGGAGCTTGCAGAAAATAAGACCAGATGGCTGTGTTGTGCAGAGGGGAGGTAGGTAGTCTTTTCTGAAATAGAAAGCTTACCACCTGGGAAGGCGATTGTGTGGGTTTTATTGGTCCCCAAGAATATGGACCAAGAGCAATGCATAGAAGCTCCAATAAAATATATATCTTGTCCAACAAAAATACTTGACACACGAAAAAGGTTACCTTGTCTTTGGGAGAAAATATATTTTTTCTAATGAGACTAATGCTAATGATAAAGGAGCTAGTATCCACTGATTGACTAAAATATGCTTATACATTCACAGATATCAAATTGATAGGTACTTTATAGATGAGGAAATTCCTATTCACGCCATGTGCTTTGCCCAAGTGAAATACAATTTTTAAAAATCATTTAATACAGGGATCTACAATTTTTTTCTGTAAAGCATCATATAGTAAGTATTTCAGGCTTTATGGGGCAAAGAGTCTCTGTGTCAACTACTCAGCTGTATGGTCACAGCATCTAAACAGTCATAGGCTACATAAATGAAATGTCAGTGCTGTAGTAAAGACAAAATAAAACACCCTATTTGCAAAAAAAAAAAAAAAGTATGGGGCTGAATTTGATCCATACTCTGAAGTTGCAATGCCTTCTCATATGAGAAAGGAAAAAAAATACAAATAAGATGAGCAATGGCCTCCATATGGCCATACTTACTCCATTGGCTTTGCTGAGTGCTTGGAAGTAGATGCTGTAGCTTTTCAGAGGGGAAAGAGGAGGGTTCCAGTAGCCATTGTATGTCTTGTTGTCACCCACTGTGAAGGGCTGTGTGACAGGCAGGTTGGCAGGCTTCAGCTCAGCAGCAAAGTAGTGTAGAGAGTCCAGGCTGGAGGCGTTTCTATAGCTCACAGGCACCGAAAAGCACTCAATGATGTCAGCTGCCCGCCGTGATTTCTGAAGTCTTTCCTCCTTGACAACCAGCTGGTAAACACTGGACAGGATAGAGAAGAGGCAAATGAATGCTACCAGGTGGGATGAACTTGCAAGTCATTATCGTCACCTCTCACTACAACTAAACCTCCCTCTTGGACCCCGACTTATAAACCACTGTAAAAATCTACCTCCATTTAGATGTCCCAAAGCCAGCTCACTCTGGATATGTCCTTAACTCTTGCAACTCTTCCCTACAAACCTGCCTGCTCCCTGACATTTCTTCCTTAGTGATTGCCCACCAAGTGGCCAGATCCTGCAGTTGGGGCTCATCCTCAATTCCTACCTGCTTATACTTCACTCAACACCTTGAATCAATGAACCTGTTGACTTGACATCTGCAATCTGCACTCGCTCCTCTGCCTTTTCCTTCTCTCACTCATAATGTGGAGGATGGGCAGTTATCAACCTCTTACCCAGACTCAATTGGTCTCTTTGTCTCTAATCTATTTGATCAACTAACCAGTCAATCCATTGATCTTCCTAGTCATGTAGCAGTGTCCCTTTGCAAACACTGTCATAAGCTGTCCATTATTTGAATGACACAATCAAAACTCCCCATTCTGGCATTTGGGACACTTAGTGCCTGGCTTCCAGTCCACCTTTCGGAAGTCTGATCAAGAAGAAGAGAAGAAACAGCACATGCAAGTTGTGCAAGTTTCCTGGCTCTAACCCATTGACTTTAGGAAGCAGTAGGGGAAGAAAGAAAAAGAAAGTGGGTATTATTTTTATTGATTGTAGTACCTTCATCCCATTATTAGTGTCTTGAAATAGATTTATCTAAGCTTTTTTCATCTCACTGGTAATGATAAAATCATATCTGAATGAGAATAAACCCCAAGACTTATATTCTAGTGCAAAAGAAGTGATTGCAATAAACTCTTTAAGATTATTTGTAAACTAGAGACCCGGTGCATGGCATTTGTGCACTGGGGAACTCTGGGAAGCCGGGTAAAGAGGTTCCTCAGCCTAGCCTGTACCCTTTCACAGTCCGGGAGCCCTCAGGGTGTGTCCCACTGATGGCTTAGGCCCGCTAAGCTGTCAGTCGGACATCCTTAGTGTTGTCAAGGAGGCAGGCCACTATGCTTGTCAGTCCTCAGCCCAGCTTGTGGCTGAGCTGCACTCCCACTGTGGCAGCACACTGACCACCAGGGGGCAGCTCCTGTATTGAATGTCTTCCCCCTGGTGGTCAGTGTGCTCCCACAGGGGGAGCTCTGCTCATCCAGAAGTTGTGCTCAGGGCTGATGAGTGCAGCGGTGGTGTTGGGAACCTCTCCCACCTCTCTGGCAGTGCTAAGGATGTCCAGGGAGCAGGCCTAAGCCATCCTCCAAGGGCTTCCAGACTGTGAGAGGTTGTAGGCCAAGCTGAGGGACTCCCCACTCCCTCTACCCCGAGTGCATGAATTTCATGCACTGGGCCTCTAGTTTAATAATAATAAGACAAACAACCCAATTAAAATTTTGCAAAATATTTGACTAGACATTTCTATATATTAAATACAAGTGACTAACAAGCTCCTGAAAAGATGACCAACTTCAGTAGTCATTAGGGAAAAGTAAATTAAAACCACAATGAGAAACTACCATGTACACTCACTAGAATAGCTTATCCGTAAAAAGACAGACAACAGCAAGTGTTGACAAATATATGAAAAAACTGGGATCCTCTGGGGAGAAAAAATGATTCAGTCATTTTGGAAAATAATCTAGTAGTTCCTTGAAAAGAATAGAAAAGCTACCTTTCATCCAGATGTAGCTATCCTGGGTTTCTATCTAAGAGAAATGAAAAAAATAAGGCCTACACAAAATCTTGTATACACATGTTAATAGCAGAATTATTCATAACAGCCAAAATACTAAAACAATCTATATGTCCATCAACCAGTGAAAAAGTAAACAATAGGTGGTATATCTATATAATGAAATATTATTCAGCAAAACAAATGAAACAAGGTACTGATATATTCTACAACATGGATGGAGCTAAAAAACATTATGCTAAATGAGTGAAGCCAGGTGCAAAAGACTCTCTGTTGTATGATTTCATTCAGATGAAATGTCAAGAAAAGGCACTTGTATAGCGGCAGAAATCTGACAAGTGATGTCCAGGGCTGGAGGTGAGAGCAGGAGCCAACTGTACAGGGGCGCAGGGTGTTTTATGGCGTGATGAAATGTTCTAAAGTGGAATCATGGTGATGGTAGCACAACCCCGTACATTTACTGAAAATTATGAAACTGCACACTTAAAATAGGTGAACCTTATGGCATGAAAATTATATCTCAATAAAGCTGTTAAAGAAATGAAGGAAATGGACTGAATAATCCTAGATGTTCTTTCTCCCTTCGAAAGTCTGTGCCTTAGCATTCAACTGTGCACACATTTTTATGCAAAAATGCTATAATAAACCTTTGGCATTATGGCACCAGTGGGGCTAAGAAACAAGTGTGAGCTTTGTAATCCCCAGCAGAACCTGGCTTTGAGTTACGTTCCCCACAGTAAAGGTCACTGTGAACTACAGAGCTGAAATGTACCATGGTAAGTCTTAGCTGGTCATCCTTTTTCCAAGGCTCTGGGAATGCCTGGTTTTATTCACTATTTGCCTTGTCGCAGTAGCTCATAGAGGAGGCGAGGATGTGGGGAGAGTTATACGTTTGCAATTTAATTTAGTCCAAGTCTGTGCACATGCTTCTTTCCTTGGCCTCTGACTAGCTGTGTGGCTTACCGCTCCCTCTCTCGCTCTTTCATGTACTTATTCTTTTATTCATCAGATCTATTAAGTGATGATAGTGGAGCAGGTGCAAATTTGAATGGCACATGGCCCCTGGCCCCAGGAGCTCAGAACTGAGATGGGGAAGATAGATGTGAACTGTATACCAGTTCAATCCAGTGGGATGAGGGCAGGAAAAGGAACCCAGGCGGGGAAGAATTCTGAGAAGAGGATGCTTAAAGGACAGTATGAGGACTCAATGAGATTATGTGTCTTAAAAGAGTGAAGTGCTCTATAAAAGTTGGCTGGAGACAGCACCATTGCTGCTCACATTATTATCACTGTATTATTGAATTAGACAACAGATTTGCCTTGTTTTCCATTTGCACCCTTCTGTGATTGAATTGCACTTGATATACTTAACAAAAGTGGATTCTGAGTAGAAATTTAGAGGAAGAAATTTATATTGTGTGAAGGAACCGTAACAATTCCACTGACGAGTTCAAATTAAGTTTTACTTATTTGCGAATGAAAGCTAAAGAAACCTTGTAAGGAAAAACCAGATGAACATCTGATGATGACCAGAGCTTCATCTCTTCTTTTTCAATATTTATTTTTATTTTATTTTATTTTATTTTATTTTATTTTATTTTATTTTATTTTATTTTATTTTATTTTATTTTTCCCATCACCATTTATCCCCTCTATGCTCTCTCTTCCACCTTCACTGCCACCCTACCACAATCACCACCCTGTTGTCATGTCCATGAGTTCTCTCTTTTCCCCCCCTTTTTTGCTCAATTCATTCATGCACTCCCCAACAGCCCTCCCTCCAGAGCTGTCCGTCTGCTTCTATCTATGAATCTGTCTAGTAATTCAGTTTGTTCATTCAATTCCATATATGAGTGGAAAAAAAAGAAATTTAACTGGCTTTAACTGAAGTTTTCCTTTGGTTGAGAAGTATTTTAAATCAAAATGTAGAAGACCTGGCTATTGCTCTCACATATTTTCTCTCCATCATGGGTCCTCTCATTCACAATAATGTACCCAAGCAACTCATAGTGGCTCTAATTTCAATATATAGCCTGAATATGACTACTATCATCTCCACAACTATCAGCCTGGGCCAAAACCCCTGTCATCTCTTAATTAGATTATTGCAACCACCTCCCAACTGGTCTCCCTGCTTCCACTCTTGCTTCCCAAAAATCTATTATTGAAACAGTGGCTAGAGTGACCCTTCAAAACATGGACTGAGGGCCTGACACGTCAGTGCTCAAAGCCCTCCTACGGCTCCCACTTTACTTCAACTAAAAGGCAGCATCTCTACAATGTCTCTGAGGCCCTTTCTTATGAATTATCCAACTGTACCTCCTACCATTCTTCTCTAGGCACGGTGGTCTCTCTGCTGGTCCTTGGCCGCTCTAGACATGCTCCCATCTGAAGGCCTTTGCATCTGTCTTCCTCTGTCCTGGGATGCTGCTCCTCAGACACACACAGCTTCTGGAAGGCTTGCTTCTTCATTTCTGCCAGGGATGTCTCACCTGACCACCCTGCTTAACACAGCAATCCCAACCCCGACCCCACCACAGCCGATTATACTTCCCTGCTTTAATTTTCTCTGTATCATTTATCATCATCACTCACACTGTGTGTGTGTGTGTGTGTGTGTGTGTGTGTGTGTGTGTGTGTGTGTGATGCACCTAAGAGGTTAAGTCATTTTAAAAGAGAACTGTTAAGCCCTGCAAATGTCAACCTTCCTTCAGAAAAAAGCAGCTAGATAGATGGACAGATATGAGGCCAGTGAGTTGATCTTTGGAGAGATGACCTTGATTTAATGACCTTTTCTAAAGCCAACAGTGAACTGAAAAACAAGGTTGAGGTTTTAGTTCTGTCTCTACCACTCACGGGCTCTATCTGACAAGTCACTTCACCTCCAGAACCTGCTTCTAAAATGGGATCTTCTGGCCATGGTGATAAGACACAAAACGAAAGAGATACATTTTTAGAAAGGAAAGCAATTAATCATCATTTGTAGAGAATATGGCCATGACCTATCGAAGAGAATCAACTGAAAGACTTTTGAAACTAATAAAAGAACTCAGTAAAGTGGTTTGAAAGAGGATAGAGACAAATAAACTGTACGTCATGAAAAAGAAGCTGGAGGATGTAAGGGGAAAATCTTGCTAGAATAGAGTCCTTTAAAAATATCAGAGAACCCAAATGAGAACTATACAGGACTGACACCTGAAGAAAATGGCCATTTCTGCCAGAGCAAGCTTGGCAGAGTGGGT